GAAAAATTAAAAGGTACCCAAATCACTGTCACTCGTTTACAGCGCCTAATAGGGGGAAACAAGTACCCATAAAGCCGTTTTAAAAAACCGACCCCGGAAATCTAAAAAAAAAAACATGAAAATAATTGATTGAATCACCATTAATCCTTCAGAATCTGAGAGAAAAATGGAAGCTTAAGGTATTAATCCATTTTTAAGGACTGCTCATATATTACTCCGCGAGAGCTATACACTTTAGAGACTACTTCTTTTTATGAAACCGTCAGTCTTAAATGAACACTACGTTAGTTAACACAAAGCTCTTGGTCCTCAGGAATAAAACCATTGAAAAAAACAGCTAGAGGGATTTTAAACTCAAGGTGTACTCCCAAAAGCCAATTATATCAAAATTAGTTTGTTTGTGGTGAACATACACAAAAATGAGATGAGAATAAATTTCATTCCCAGATCGAATACTATCCGACAAAAACTGTCTAGTTAAGTGTTGTATCACAAACCATGTTGGAAAGATATTCGACGGAGAAAAACACAATATAAAGCATATATAATATGAGAAACATTGATTCATTCGTGTGTGTCAGTCAATGTGCATTGTATGTTGTGCTAAGGGAGAACATTAAAAAAATATATAAATATCTCTGACAATATTCACAATAAATTACTTACGAGTTAACACTAGAACAATCTCACACTTATATAGTACAGCATCGTATTTAAAATGTGTGCATGTGTTGTTCGTCTGTTTAGCAGCATTGCAAATGATATGCACCCTAAGGCACCTAAAACCATAGAAATCATCTCTCATTCCACCTCTCACATACTCTTAAAAAACAAAAATCACGTTACAAGGGGTGGGAGGGGGGAGTGCATTTGACTAAAATTCACTATTCTGACTGGAATTGCATTCAAAATAACACATATACAATCAATATCAAGTATGACTCAAATACAATATTAAAATGTCTCGATACGCATAATATTCGAATAGGAATGAATGTGAATAACCGTATTTTAAGACCCGTATAGCTATGAGATGAACCTCTCCGATGAAGGCTCATCGACGACGCTACTGCACATGTAAAGATCGGAGCGGTCAATGATCAATATCAACATTTGATATGAGAGGAGATGCGATGCGAGTGATGTCCGTGAGAACACAAATAGGCGATCACCGTAGACAGTTCACCTGAAAATTACTGAATCAAATCGAGATTTCAAACTTCATTTCTATAGTCATTATAAGTTTAAAGTATTCTTTTTCCTGTCTGTTCGTCCTTCTATTAGACTAGAAGGGGACATTCGCAAATACTGAATAGATAGATAATATAAGTGAAACTCAAGCGAACGAGTACGGATAATCGAGTTAGGAAAACGAAGTTTTAATGGAGCTGAAGATTGTAGATTTAGCCCAAAAATTTCAAGCGCACTAGAAATTCGATGATTAACTCAGAATTGTATAGACGTAGATTTTATTTTTGAGATCAACCATACAAGAAAGAACCATTACTGTATTTTAGACAAGATCCTCAGCACACCCGAGCACTAACGTCTTCAAAAGGTTAAGATATGTTCA